GGGGTGCGGGTCGCTGCCGTCGCCCCCAGGAGCTGCCCCCGCGGGGCCCGACCCCGGGCTGGGGGCCAGGGGCACTGGGCACAGCCCCGCGGCTCTGCCACGGAAGGCAGTTGGTGGCTCAGTTCCGAAGCCGCTTTCAAACTGCGGGGGTTCCACCGGGCGTCCAGTCCCACAGCCCCGCAGCGCCTGCCCCCGTGGCAGACAGCAGCAACGCGGACCCAGGCGCGAGGAACCGGCGCCGCCAGCACTCGGCGGCCTGGGCGCTCGCGAGAGCCCGAAGCGGCAGCAGGCCGTGGGTCCTGGCCGGCTCCTGCCTCCCCCCACATACCTGGCGAGGCAGGACCCTGCCGCTCCCCGCGGGCACACAAGCTTCCTCGCAGAGGCGCAGGCGGGAAGGGCACAGCCCACCCGACTGACCCCCATTCCCTCCCCAGGAGATCATCGACCTGACGGGCGAGGACACCCGCGGCGGCGCCGTGGCGTGCAGCAGCAGCGTTGTCATCGACCTGACGGGGGAAGACGAGGAGCCGCCCAGCCCAGCCCGCGCCCCCATGCAGACACCGCCCGCCGGGACGCAGACCGAGGCCCTGCCCGGCTTCCCTGCCACCATCAAGGATGAAGCGAAGACGCCCGCCTGCTCCACGGACTCGGACTGCAGCCCCACCACCTTCAACAGCGACTTGAGCTCCCTGGCCAGCCCCCTGCTCGAGTCTGACCGCTTCTCCCTCTCCCCCTCCCCCTCCCCCTCCAGCAGCGACAGCTGGGGGGCACCCACGGACCCTGGCTCCCCACCCCCAGCCGCCCCCACGCCCCCCCACTCCCTCGCCGCTAGCACCTCAAAGGCGCCCTCCAGGAAGCGGCCACGGCTGGCGGTGAAGCAGGAGCCCCCGGCATCCCCCACCCCACGCCTGGCCGACCCCAGCTGCCTGCACAAGCTGCGGTACTTCCGGAGGATGCCCGTGCACCACCTTCTGCGGGTGGCCAAGGATGAGGACAGCCGGGAGGTAACGGAGGGGGGGGGTGGTCCAGGATCCGGGTTCCCTCCATCCCCGGCTGCCCTTATCCCCATTCCCACCTTGTGCCCTGCCACACACCAAGGGCCCGCTGTTCCAGCAGAGGACGTGGCCCATCTCAAGCCGGAAGCTGGACCTGGTGCAGACCACGATGGAGGAGAGTTTCCCCGAGGGCACGCTGCAGTTCCTGACTGACTTTGTGACGCCCCGGCACTACCCACCCTGCACGATCGTGGCCCACCTGGTCCGGCAGATCCTGCTGGGCCCGCACCACTGGGGGATCCTCAAGGATGCCTACACGCTGCTCATGAAGATCCAGACGTATGTGACACCACTGCTGGGGCCAGCATCACTGCCCTTGGCTCCCGGCTGGTCCGAGAGCCCCCAGCACTGGCCACCTGTGGGTCGGGCTGCTGCCCAGGGAAGGGGGGTGTTCTTAGCAGGGGCCCTCAGGCCATTGGCAATAGGCGCCAGCAGCAAGGGGGCTCCAATGGCCAGGAGTCCTGCCCAGCAACCACATGTGTAAGCAGAGCCTGGGTGGTACATCCAGCACCAGGATCTGGGATGGGGCCGTCCAGGCTCCCCGAAAGGGGCTGCCATTGGGGGAAGAAATGCTGCAGCTGCCTCGAGCCTTTGCTGCAGCCCTGTTCGGGAAAGAGCTTTTCCAAGGCTCTGCTGAGTCAGGAGCTGGCGGTGTCCACACCCTCCCACAGCCAGGCCATCTGCACAGCCCGAGGAAAGCAGAGAGGGCAGGAGCAGGGGTAGCTCTGTGCTCCCCCAGGCAGCTCGGGGCCCTCACGGACTTGCCCTCTGTGTTAGGTTCCATCCAGCCAGCACTGTGAAGGACATGGGCTGGGATTGGCCGCTGCTCAGACACATCATGGAAGACGAGGTAGGGCCCAGCGTCCCTTCCCTCCAGGGCTGGGCTCTTGCTGGGGAGGGGAAGCAGCTGGCTGGCAGGTGGACAGGCAGAGCGTGGCTCCCTCTTCCATCCACGGAGCAGGCCAGGGTGGCAAGGTGCAGCCACGCTGGTGCCCTGGGCAGGCCCCCACCCCCACTGTCCCCTCCCCCACAGGAGAAGCCTCGTGGGCGCCTGCTGTTCCTGCAGTACGTGGTGCAGACGCTGGAAGACAATGCCCAGCTGAGCCTGCGGCTGCAGCACCCCTCCATGACCATTGCCAGGCAGGTGCTGTCCTGCGACCAGAGCTTTGGCAACATCAAGTAAGGAGCCCCCGCGCACTGGGCTGGGTGCTGCAAGCATAGGCCGGCACCTCCTGCAGGCCGAGAACGGGAGCTTGGGGTGTAGGGATTCCTAGATAGGAGTTTGGGGAGGGAACCTTCCAGCTGGGCTGTGGTTGGTATGCCTTGCAGGCCAGCCAGAGCAGGTTATCCAGGCAGCTGCTTGGCAGGGCACTGCTGGGCATGGGGGAACCCACACAGTGCTGGACCCCTAGCTCACAGGAGCAACCTACTGGGGTCCCATGTGGCCACCTGCAAAATCGCTCTGAGCCATGCCCCCGCAGGGAAGTGATTGGGTGGCTAGTGGCTGCCATCACCGGCGTCGGATTCTGCAGACCCCCAGAGCAGCAGAACACAGCGCCTGCCACCTCCGGTACCTCCAGGCTCCAGCACAGCAGCTGCTCACTCTTGCCGAGGCCCACGGAGCTGGGGGAGGAGGTTCCACCGGGACTCCTGGCTGAAAAGTAAGATGGGGCAGGATGGCCTCTTTGGGTCAGGGGTGTTACGCCAGTGGGAGATTGGAAGCATCTGAGGCTGCCCCAAGGGCTGTTATCTCCATGGACACTACAGCCCCCATCCCCAGACAGAAGGGTCCCTGGTGCAGCTGGGAGCCTGCCCAGCCCCAGAGGGAAACCCAGTGTGGCTAGGGGTCAGTTCTGGCTGGCAGCCAAGGGCAAGGAGGGTGCAAGCTCATCTGAGCCTCCCCCCCAAGCAGGGTCTTCCCCACCCCCAGGCCCTGGCTGTACCTCCAGTGGTGCCAGGCACAGCAGTGGCTTCTCACAGGACAGAGCTGAGGCTCCTGGATGCTGGGCCGTGCCCCCCACAGCCTGTGCAGGTCAGGGCAGTGTCGGCTTCACCCACAGGCTCTAGGGGAGGGGGGCGCAGGACCCCGCAGCTGCCCCCTCCCTGCCAGGCTGACTGGCATCCCTGGTGTAGGGTGGTGCTACTGCTGCAGCGGCTGCTGTCCATCGCAGTGGAGGTGGACCGCTCGCCTAACTGCAGTGCCCACAAGATCGCCGATGCCATCTTCCCCTCTGTGCTGAACATCCCACTGCGGAGCCAGAGGTGAGCGCTGCCTGTCCCCATGCCACTCCCAGCAAAGCTGGCCCAACCGCTAGGGTTCCTCTACCCCGCTTGGGGCAGGAAGTGGCACCGGGGGGGGCACTGGGCTCTTGCTGGGGAGGGGAAGCAGCTGGCTGACAGGTGGACAGGCAGAACGTGGCTCCTTCCATCCACGGAGCAGGCCAGGGTGGCAAGGTGCAGCCACACTGGTGCCCTGGGCAGGCACCGGGGGTG